CCTAAGGCCGCGCTGATAACTGACGGGGCGATCAAACTTGATCATCCCAACGGATATTCACATAAACATTGTGAGGGCAGTTCAATACATATATCTTTGACTGGGATTGAGGCTAGAGCGTTAACAGCTCAACATGTCATTGAATACACAAGTGTTCGCTCAAATGCACATGATCCCGACAGGTTGCGACTGTCAGGGGAAACACAACATGAAATCCCAGATGTCGTGAGGAACGTAGTTGAAGGGAGCTGGATGGCCCCTGTGCCACACATGCAACTTGGTCTTCGCATTATAAGAGTGGTTGCTATCGTTCGCGAGATCATGGGCTCCTTTCTTTCAGATGGACATTTTGTTGACTACCCGGGGAGAACAATTCTTACTGCGGGGGGGGGGCGCATATGATGTTCATTATAAGCGACGGAGGGATGCATCTGCCCTTGACTGTCGCATCCGCGCTGCGGTTCAGGCGGGCGACCTCGTTGGAGAGTGGGCCCGTAATTGAGGTGGACAGGTAAGGGCGGACATTCGTCGCCAGGGTTCATTGTTACAGGAGGCCATTTATAGGCTTCAACACAGGTATGTAGATGCCAACACGGAGCTCCAAGATAAGGGTGCAGGCCCGTTTCGTAATGCATGCGGTAAATTGGGCATTCCTGTAGCTACTGCTGCTAGGAATTTGCTGAAGTTCATTGGCGATCGAGAGCAGAATGTTCGTGAGGGTGGAAGTGCCAGTGGGCCCCCCGACAGCCAAGCTGGTTCGGTGGGGCCGAGGCGACCACAGGATGCGGCGAAAGCGAGACCGCGACAGCCACCTCCGCCGCGCAGACCCGACGTCTCAGACGCTCGGGCTGGCGACGAAGTTACCGAATCCCCATGCTCTGCCAGCGGCACAGCCGTCTCGGCAAGAGAAGAATACTCGTGGTACTCTGACGCGCGGGATTGGTCGAGGCCCCGGCGCGCGCGCGATGGAGCCGTGGATGTCGGCCGGGGCGCTGCTGGCTACGACCCGCTCGTCTCCTACCCGCGCTATGCAAGCGACGTGCAGGTCGGATGCTACGTCCATCGGGATCGGCTCTGGCGGCTGTCCAACGATGTCTGGTGGTCGCAGACGTGGCACGTCCCGTCTCTGGCCGAACATGAGTTTCGCTTCCCGCCGAAGGGGAAGGCGACCAAGAACAAAGACAAGCACTACAGATCAGCGTGCTACGCTGGCTGTGGCAAAGGGAGGTCCCGTTCGCCTCGTGGCGGCGAGGGGCAGACAGGAGGCTCGGCGTCATCATGCCCGAGGCCTCCGACGCCACCGACGGGGGAGTACAACCCATTCGAGGGCCTGGATTGAGTCCGGCCCGCGTGACTTAGTCGCTGCAGGCGTATGCAAGATAATATCCGCCGCGCGACGAAGTCGTGCCGGACGAATGAAGCAGCTCTGCCGATCGACGACGTCGAATCGGCGGAGAGAGTTTATTTATCTGATGTTGGGAGTCGTCGGGCCTCTTCGGCCCTTAGCCCCCTGGCAGCCACCGTTGAGCCGTAAAATTCTTTTGCGGTTGGCTCCGGTGGTTGTGTATATGTGCAGGCCAGGGGTGCTGTGGCTGGATGGGCTCTACGAGCCCCGCCGCGGGCGGAGTAAATGTGCTCCTCTCCGCCTCATCCTCATGCTGCTTATCGTATCGCTTGTCTTGCTTCGCACTGTATGACTATGATTGCGGTAACCTTCCGCAACTGTGTGTTTGCTCACAGGAGATAAAAGGAGCGTGCTGGCTTGCACGCGCGCGCCGAGGGGTCGTCCCCTCGTCGTAATCGTGTCGTCGGCCGGCCGGCCTCCTCACTTACTATTCCTGATAGAGTACATTTGCTTACCGGTTACTTGTCTTATCGATGTCTCATCCCGTACCCTCTTCCACTGAGCAGAGTGAACATGAGACCTTAATTCCTTTGTCCTCTTACCCCGATTCTCAGAGGAAAGACAAATCAGCACGGCGCAGCACAGCACATATTTCGGCACGGTACATCAATATCGATACACTCAGCATTGCAACTTGGCACGTTTCTTGGCACGTTCCGTGGGGCGTCCCTTGACGAGCCCCCGTGGCACGTCGCGTGGCGCGTCCCTTGGCACATCCCGTGGCATATCCATTGGCACGTTCCGTAGCGCGTCCCCTTGGCACGTCCCGCGGTGCGTCCCCATGACATGTCCCCTGGCACGTCGCCTGGCGCATCCCTTGGGGCGTTTCGCGGCGCGTCCTCCTGGCATGTTCCCCTGTCCATCAGCTCTACGGCAGCTACTATGTGTTCAGGCAGCTCGGGCTTAAGATCCAGATCAGTTCGGTCAGGACTCGGATGCAAAGGAGGACTCGATCCACGACGCTATAGAGCACACTCGCGCCATGGCACATCGCAATTCAGCACGGTGCAGCACAGCACAGCACAGTCCCCGTGGCACGTCGCGCGGCGCGTCCTCTGGCACGTCCCGCGGCACGTCCATGGCACGTTCCGTAGAGCGTCCCCTTGGGACGTCCCGCGGTGCGTGCCCATGGCACGTCCCCTGGCACGTCGCCTGGCTCGTCCCTTGGGACGTTCCGCGGCGCGTCCTCCTGGCATGTCCCCTCAGCCGATTAGTTTTTTGGCAGCCAGCATCTGCTCAGGCAGCGCGAGCTTAAGATGCAGATCAGTTCGGTCAGGACTCGGATGCCAGGGAGGACTCGATCCACAACGCTATATAGAGCACAGTCGCGGCATGGCGCATCGCAGTTCAGCACGGCGTAGCACAGCGCAGCCCTCGGCACAGTACATCAAGATCGATACACTCAGCATTGCATTTGCCCGTCGCCCAATAAAGGTGTCTTTGAAACGTTGCCATGCCTTACATTTCTGTTCCTTTCCGGGTTCGTGGGTCGATCATTTCAATCCGGAAGCGTTCGGCACTTCGCAGCCAGCCCGGGAACAGCGAGATCCTTTTTGGATCCACGATGTTCCGCGCTGCGCTGTCCCTCCCAGCAGCCTTCGAAAGTGGCGGTTTCACACTTCGCAGCCCTGCGCCGCCGAGCTGCCAGACAGGACGGCAAGACAGGGCGCATGCAAACAGGCAGGTCAGCCAGGCGAGCGAACAGGGGAGACAGGAGAAGGGGGTAGGCGGGACGGGGGCGAAGGAGAAACAGGTGTAGACCCAATCGCCCTATTCAAAGCGAGGATCCAGCCACGGCTTGGTGGGGGAAAGCCCCGAATGCGCCCAAGAGGTCCAATGAACAGACCGAGAGACCTCTAAGAGACTCGCAGGAAACCTTCCGTAATTTACAATGTAGGCTCAACTGTTTCAGGAAGCCCTCCGTAATTACAACGTCCAGCGACATTCGGATTCAAAGTGTTTCAAAGCAGCGATGAACTCATTAATCGTGGCTCTTTTACCGATTGGTGTATTTGGATCATGCCCCTTCATGGACATTGGCACTCCTCCAAGTTTGAAGGCAGAAGTCATTTCTGACAGTGACTTCAAGACAGCCCTAGAAGGGCTAGACATTGAGGCACTTGAGCAGGACCTCAGAGTCCTCATGACAGACAGCCAGACTTGCTGGCCAGCCGATGATGGCCATTACGGTGGTTTTATGATTCGCCTAGCGTGGCATTGCGCTGGCACCTTTCGCACATCTGATCAGAAAGGGGGCTGCGGAGGTGCCAGAATCCGCTTCCCACCAGAGTCAGATTGGGAGGGCAATGGTAACCTGGATAAGGCCCGTGCCCTTCTCGTTCCTATCTAGTGGCCTTCGGCCCATCCGCCGCCGTGCCTTGGTGAGGGGTCAGAAGCCTCATGGATGTTCGTTGGGATCTTGTGGTTGGCGTCTTGAGGGCCTCTGGGAGGCAGTTTCGAAGCCTCTTGGGGCCTCTAGGGGGCCTCTTGGGGGCCTCTTGGGGCCTCTTGGGGGCCTGTTGGGGGCCTCTTGGGGCCTCTTGGGGGCCTCTTGGGGGCCTCTTGGGAGCTTCTTAGGGAGCCCTCGGGGCATCTTGGGGGCCTCTTGGGGCGGAGGGCTCAAATGTTCGCGCTCGGGGGCCGCGATCTTCGTGAGGGGTGCCAAACAAGTTGCCCTCCCAAAGTCACGCGAGAAGCCCGGGGCCGACGCGGCGAGCCCCACAAGATTTCGTAAATTTGGCTCTGGTCCCCTTAAATGCTCAGGACTGAGGACTGGGATTCAGGCAACGAGGCTCTGGGGAGGAGGCGAAGGACCTGAGGGCGCGCCCACTCCGTGCCTCAGGGCACGGTGACGGATCAAGCAAAAATATGGCGATGCTCTCAGTTGAGGTGACCTCATCAGTTTTGCTGGTACCGTTGCAATCCGGGACATGGGAGGCCCAACAAATCCGCACTGTTTTGGACGAGTCGATGATGCAGATGGTAACAGGAGTGACATTTTTGGCGTCACAGATAGCTGGCAAGATACGGACTGCGTTGTGCAAGGAAATTGCCAGGAGCCCATGGGTGCGGTGAAGGTTGGTTTGATCTATGTGAACCCTGAGGGGCCTTTGAACGACCCGAACGATCTGAACAGTGGGCAAAACCCAGATCCAGAGAAGAGTGCCGTCGAGATTCGGGAGGTGTTCGGCCGCATGGGGATGAACGATTCTGAGACAGCTTCGCTGATAGCAGGTGGTCATGCTTTCGGCAAGTGTCATGGTGCCGGCGTTATGACGAGTGGCTTCGAGGGGCCGTGGACGACAACTCCTTCTCAATGGACCAACCAGTTCTTGACTGGAATGCTTGATGAGGAGTGGGAGCAAGTCGCAACTCCATCTGGGTCGGCGGTGCAGTGGCAGACGAAGGACAGGACCAGCATCTTGGCTGGAACCATGCGTCTGACAGCAGACTTGGCTCTTGTGAACGATGATGCGTATCTGGCGTTAGCGAAACATTGGGTGTGTGACCAGCAGAAACTTGACATAGCGTTTGCCGCGTCTTGGAAGAAGCTCGTGGAGTCTGGCGGTGGATGGTTGCCCGTGGAAGACAGGAGGTGTGAGCCTGAGTCCAAGGCGACGGGACAGCAAACAGACCCCCAAAATAATTTCCATTCGGTGTGCGCCACGACGACCACTGATGATTCACAAGAAGCCAGCACTGCCACTAAATTCTGTTTGTCGTTTTTGGCGGTGGTTTTCACCCCGTTCAGCCTTGGCGTGCACTCCTGGCTTGCGTAGACTTTCGCGCTTGTATAGTGTATGGGTTCCGATGGAGCGAACGCGCATGTGCGGGTTTTCACGATAACTTTAGTAATGGCGAGCTCCGTGGCACAGGCTGCGGGCATTTGCGGCGCCGACTTTGAGTGCTGCTCGCCTCGTTTCGACGGTGAATCGTGATTCGAACAACTTCGGGCGACTGGGCCCCAGCGAGTGTCGTGAAAAGAGCGTGCTTTTTCAAGACTCCTGATGGGGACTTCCGCCCGACCCCCTCTTGTGGTTGGCCCCTCCCCTTAGCTGCACTGCATAAATAATTTTTTTTGTTTTTGGAGCCTGCGCGCGACCCGTAGCCCAGCGGTGGATGCCCGCCAGGCCCCGACAATGCCGTCTGGCACTCGAATCATGGTTGATTTGGTTGAGCCAGTTCGAGCTCCAGCAACCTTGAAGCTGGCATGCCTCTGGCGTGAATGCGACGTGGTGTGATAGGGAGTCGCACGAAAGCGCAACCATGCGCGAACATCACGTAGCACGTACCGCAGGATCAATTGCACACGTCATTTGCAAGTTTGTGTTGTTCGGTAGCTTGCGTGACACCTATATAGATGTGCATATACATATGTGCATATGTACACACATACATACACATATAATGAGCAGGGGGTCCAGGGGCCCCCAAAGTGCACTGATTTGCCTTCCGGCCGTTTCGGTCCCGGCGAGGGGCGCCAAAAACGCCAAAGGGGGCCGAGTGACGTCCAAGAAGGCACCAAGATGGCCCAAGAGCACCCCAAGAGAGCCCAAGACCGCACAAGAGCGTCGTACCCAGGAGGGTTCCAAGTCGGCCAAGATGCCCTCAAAAGGACTCCCACGAGGCATTCAAGAGGCGAAAAAGTATGGTTCTCTTGCTGACTGGGTTTGAGGTTGTTCGTGTTCTCGCTGTTTCGTGCTTCCGACGGTCCACGAGGCCCCAGCAATCAGCTCGAGACGGCCTGAGAGGCACCCAAAGAGTGCGCCACGACGGCGCAAGAGAGTCCCAAGACGGCCCAAGAGTGCCCCAAGCCGGCCCAAGAGGCGCCCAAGATCGCCCAAGAGGGCCCCAAGACGGTTTTAAGACGGCCCCAAGAGGGGCCCAAGAGGGCGAGCACGACTCGACAATTCGAGCCTTCCACCCCAAGAGGCTTCCAGGAGGCCCCAAGAGGCCCCCAACAGAGCCCAAGAGGCCCCCTAGAGGCCCCACGAGGCCCCAAAGGGGCCCCGAAAGACGCTCCACGAGTATCCGTAGCCATTTTGGCTCAAGGTGGCTCTGACTGCAGCGCGCAAGCGCTCATCATAGTCGCCCGCCATCACCATGCGGACCCTGCGACCAGGCCTCTGGGGCCCGAGGCGGCCCACTTTTCCGACTCCCCCCGCGGTGCCCACTGTGTCCCTCGGGGCCCGGGACTCATTGCGGGCCTTCGGGGGGCTTTCGGAGGGCCCGAAGGCGCTGAGATAACCCCAAGATCGCCGCGCGACATCCCAAAAAGGCGTCCAAGACGGCCCAAGAAGCCCGCAGGATCGCTCCAAGACGTCCCACAGAGCCCTCCAAGACGGCCTCAGTAGGCGCCTGTGGATCCCAGTGCGCTCTGAGACAGTCCAAGAGGCCCACAAGACACCCCACTCCGCACCCCTCCCCGCTCCTCCCAGATCGTTCCCATTCCAGGCAAGTTTGCGCGAGGCGGTTGCGTCTCTGGCCGCGAGATCCTGCCAGTTAATACCTACATGTACGACCACCCTTCGGGTGATGAGGAGGTTGTGTGTGTGTGTGGTGAAGGGGGGGGAAGGGGGCCAACTGGAGCTACAACATAGCATTGCATCGCATAGCAGAGCATAGCATTGCACGGCATCGCATAGCGCAGCATAGAAGAGAATGGCGTAGCATAGCATAGCATAGCATAACATCGCATAGCATAGCATCGCATATAATAGCGTACCATCGCATCACACAGTATGGCGTAGCATAGCATAGCATAGCATAGCATAGCATAGCATCGTATCGCATATACACAGAACGGCGCACCGGGCCCGGTGGCCGAGGGCCGGAACCTCGACCGCAAATGTGGGCCCCAGGGCCCGGGCCCGCCCTTTGGGAAGCTTAAAATCGCCCCGGGGAGCCCTCAGACAGCAAGCCGGGCGGCCCCAGACGGTCTCGAGACACCCCCAAGACGCCGTCCAGGGGTCTTTGGCGACGCACGATGCGTTTTAAACTGCCCCGGAGGCTCCCTAGACGCCCCAAGAGGCCTTCAAGATGCCGCCCAACGCCCCGAGAGGGCAACTCGTTGATTTTCATTGTTTTTTAAATGTTATTTTTGCATTCTCGCTGTTTCGTGTTTCCAGCGGTAAAGCACCGCCCAAGAGGCTCCCAAAACCGTTCCAAGACGGCCCAAGAGGCCCCCAAGAGGGCCCCAAGACGGCCCAAGAGAGCCCCGAGACGGCTCCAGAGCCGCCCAAGACGGCGCAAGAGGGTCCCAAGAAGGCCCCAAGAGGGGCCCAAGAGAGGGAACGCGAACTGAAAAATCAAGCTTTCCGCCCCAACATGCCCCCAAGAGGCCCCAAGAGGCTCCCAGGAAGTCCCCAAGAGGCCCCAAGAGGCCCCCAAGAAGCCCAAAACAGGCTCGAAGAGAACCCCGAGACGGCCCAGGAGCTGCATCGCGCTATCCTTCGCTACGCGCAATCCTTCAAGCTAGCTAGAATTTGAGCGCGCGCGAAGCGCGCGCGATGGTTCTTTATACGGCGCCCAATATGGCTTCATTTCTCTTCGCAGAACTATGTATCCGCGCCCCCGAGCCCACGACGCCTCGTCTCAAAACGCATCAGCGCTCCAGGGTCCACGATCATGTGTAAAGCACCATGGGTCCGCGCTTCCGAAGCCACGATCCCTAGCCAAATAAATAATACATTATACAACGCCACTGATGCCACGTTTCCGAATAACGAACCATGGATCCGCGCTTCTGAGGCCACGAACACTTGTAACAACCTACGTGTCCACCACTTCCGTAAGTTCCTGGGAGGCCCAGCGGAGTGACGCCCCTCGGGGACCCGAAAGGGGCCTCGCCAGGTCCGCAGATGTCGCCGCTTTTGTAAGCTCCTGGGAGGTCCAGCCGAGAGACGTCCCACGCCAGCCCAGAAAAGGGACCTCGCCCTCCCTGGGGGCTGCCAACTGCGCAACTGCCCTGCCTGGGTGCTGCCACCTGCGCAGCTGATCGCCACTTCCGTGAGCTGCCATTATCGGACGCACGCCGCAAATCGGCACAGAGGTTCACATCCCATGGAGCATGGATCCCATTCGACCTCCCATCCTCTCTCCATCTTGGGGGCCCTGGGGGCTCCGCCCCCTCGGGGATTTGCAGCCCCTCCCCCCCCTCAGCCTCCTACCATCAACGCTCCGCCAGTGGTGGATGAGAAATGCGGCTCCCAAGCCAGAAACGCAACTTCGATGCTGGCTACTTGCTCGAAATCTGCGGGACCCGCAACCTACGAGCCTTCAAGGTATTGCTAGTCTATGCGGTCGGATTGCAGTACCTGACGCTGCAGCGAGAGCACCCATATTGGCCGCGATCCCTGAACGTGCCATTCCTTTCGTGAGGGGTAAGACTAGGCAGAGGATTTCATATTTGGAAATGTTGTATATGCAGAAAACAGCGGCTGCCACGACGAGTTGTCGCATCGAGATGTTGGGAGCATCGAGATGTTTCACAAGGCATGTAGGAGGAGGAGGAGGATGGAGGGAGGAGGGAGGAGGTTCTCAGGAGGAGGAGGGAGGAGGACGGAGGAGGAGGAGAGGAGGGAGCAGGGAGGAGGATCCTAGGAGGAGATACTGCTTGCAAGTCTACCTCTGCTTTCCCCGGCCCCTGGCTTTCTGTGTGGGGGAGGCAGGGGGGGGAGGGCTCGGGCGAGTTCTTGCCACACTCCTGGGGAGATCTCTGCCGGCGTCATCTGTCCCAGACCCAGATTATTCCCAGTCTCGGGCGGATCCGAAGGGTGCTTCGGCAGAGGGGGCCGCCCCTTGGCCGTGGCCAAGGCGCCGGCGGTTCTAAAGCTAGTCGACGTGGGCCTTCTTGGGGACAGAGAAGGAAATAGCCTGCTTCATTTTCTGTTTGCGCGGCAACCATCCATGTTGCCGCTTCCTTGCGTGTTCATATATCCAGTTGGGTGGCTGCATGCGTCGAGCATTCTGAGCAGTTCTTGGGTCTAGTGCTACAAGTTCTTGGGGCAGTGCATCTTCTGATGGGTGTTTTGTTTGCCTCTGCGGCTTTGCATTCCGCGTGCGAGCTTCTCTTTGGTAGCGTTTGGCTGCTACAGGCGTCATTTTTTTTTTTTGCTTGTTTTTCTCCTCCTTATATATATATATATATTATAGACGTATGCGTATATTTACATACATATATAGATATAAATATATATATATATATGTTTCCTTCCCTCTTGTCTCCTCTCTCCCCCGAGGTCAGACAGCCCCTGATTATATCTATGCGCGTCTTCGTGAACGCATGTGCTCTCCTGCGTGCTTCTGGCGCCGAGGGTCGCCGCGGGGAGTTGCGCGTGGCTGCTTCGCCGCTAGCCGAAGCCGCGGCATATTGATTGCATTCGACAGCAGCGGTCGGCTGGATTCGGTGCTGGGGGGGCGGCACGAGCGGGGGGGTCGCCAACTTTTAGATCTCTCCAGTCGCGGCCGCCGCCGCCGCCGCCACCCCCCGCGCGCGACGCGGCAACTCTTGGAGGAAGGCGCGTGGCCTGAATCTGCTGCTGTGTCTTCTCATGCGCTTTTTGATTGCTTCCGCGGTGCGGGCCTGCGCGGCCTCTGAGCTTCTGTCGCAGCCCCCGCCGCGCGCCTCTAGCAGCTCCGCCTTCTGGAGATTGATGGGCACCTTCTTTCATTGCCTGTCCATATCGACCATGCCAGCGTCCGCGACGGCGGCGCAGCGTTCGCCCTCTTCGACGCGCCCGCCGCCTTCCCTCGGCAATCTCGCCCTCGTCGGCCGCTGAGCCCCCCCTGCTAGCGCCGGCGGCGCCCCCGTCGCCGGGAAGGCAGACTCCGCGACGACCAGCGGCGCCGCGCTCCCCGCCCTCGCCTCCTGCCTGCCCCCCGCCGTCGGTCGCCGCGCCCGCGCCGCCCTCTGCTCCAGCGGGGCCGGGCCAGAGCCGGACTCCGCGGCCTCGGCCGAGCCCTCCTGGCGAGCGTCGCCGCCCTGGCCCCCCGCGGCCACGCGCGCCTCGAGACAGGCCCAGCAGCGACGAGGCGTCGCCTGCGGCGTCAGCGAAGTCCCGCGCGTCCTCCTCGCCCCACCGCGCGGCGGCGTGACTCTCGTTCGCGTCGCGCAGGTGTTCGTGAGCGCGCTTGAACAGACGCCGAGCTTCTTCATTCGCGCGCGCCGCAGGCTGACGGGGTCGGACTCCGCAAAGACGGCGTGCAGAAACTCGACCAGGTCGGCCCCCCGCAGAGGCGTCGACAGCACCTGCCGACCGCCGTCCGCCTGCGGGGGCCCTACTCAGTTCCGCGCGAACGCCCTGGTGCTCTCGACCGGGGCGAAGGCGCCCTAGTCGGTCTTGCAGT